ATTCTAGTATTGATTTTAAAGTTCTTTTCCAACTTACTCTAAATTCTTACCTTTGATTCAGGCTCTCTTGGATCTGTCATGTGGCTCTGGGGTTGGAACAACTTTGATGACAAACATGTACGAGGTTTTTCTCTCTGCTACCAGTTAGAGTATGTGCCCTCTCTGAAGTGGACCATTTTGCTTTATCAGCAGGTTTCTTTTATAGCTCTTCCTCAATTTTTGATGGGGTTTCAGTCAAAACTGAGAATACGTTTAATACGTGTAACCTACCAACACCATAGTGTAGGCTAGCCTACGTTAAATGTGGTGAGAACACTCGCATTAGCCTCCCTGCGTTTGGGCAGAATCCTCTACCGCCAAATCATAATGAACTGTCGACCATCTCGCGTAATGTATTGAGTACCGTACTGTGGCTGTGAGGGTAGGGGTTCTTCACTCTGGTGATGGCGTGGCTGACCTGGAGCTCCAGCTGGCTGCCGCCGCGCAGCACCGTGAGAGAGGATTGCACAGCATGTTGCTAGCCCAGGAAAGGATCCAAATTCAAAACTCCACTTACAGTGTCTACTGCATGCATATTGCTTTCACACCATCATTAAGTTGAAAAATAAGTCAAACCATCGTTAAGTTGGGGATTGTCTGTATTTGAAAACATTTTTCCTGTTAATCTTCCTCGCTTCTCCAGGCATTTCACACAAGGAAGAGTCTCATAAGGGTGGAAGCTAAATGTACTATCGCTTATTTTTACTGTCTCCTGAATTTAACTCTTCCACCTTCTCGGCATCAATTAAAGCTGGGACAGGAGGGCACACAGAATATCATGTAACTGTGGCTGCACGCAGAGAGTACCGAAGCCAACACTGGACCTTCACTCAGTCCTCACTTCCTTGGTAGTATTTTTCTTGAGGACCTGTGGCCTCCAGCTAAATGAAATCCCACATCCCACTCAAGCCTATGAGAAGGCAGTAGGCTTTCCTCACCCTTTCTTAATCTGATTATGTCTCCCTTTATTTTTCTAGATCCAAGTTAAGTTTTTTTTATCCCACGCTTGACTAGAGTAAAGGATTATAACAACTTCATCTCCTAGCCCAGACATTTCTTTCTTTTTTTTTTTTTAAGTGTTTATTTTGAGAGAGACAGAGACAGCACAAGTGGGGGAGGGGCAGAGAGAGCGAGAGTATCCTAAGCAGGCTCCGCACTGCCAACGCAGAGCGGGACCCGGGGCTCAAACTCACAAAACTGTGAGATCATGACCTGAGCTGAAATTAAGAGTCGGACATTTAACTGACTGAGCCACCCAGATGCCCCTGGATTGTTCATCTTAATACAAAACATAAAACCATTCAAATGAGGTGCAAGAGTGGAAGGGGGTTTCAGGATGCAAACTAAGTACAATTGTAAACAGGGAACATAATATATTTTAGACATTGCTCAACAAAGCAGGACTTAAAATAGTAATCCCTTAAGGCATTCCATGATATTTCTCTATTTGACCCAAAGACACTCCTGCTTGGATTTGTGTGTTTTGTCCTGGTGTGTCAAGCTTACTTTCTCCATAATGTGCCTATTCTCTTGCTTCTATCCTTCTTTTTCTTTTGTTAAGTAAGCTCTACACCCAAGGTGGGACTTGAACTCATGACCCCGAGTTCAAAGGCTGCGTGTTCGACCAACTGAGCCAACCAGGCACCCCACTTTTGTCCTCCTTTTGATCCTAGAGAGAGAAAATTTTTTAATGGACCTCAGGTCCATCCCTTTGGGGCTTTGCTGTCTGTTCATCTCCCACTGAATTGGGACAGACACTGTATTTCTGCCTTTGCACTTAAATGCATGTTTTCATCCGTTTTTTACATCTTCCCCATATTGGGAAGACTTGGATCTTCTCCTTGGTCATATGTGGCTGTGGTCTATATCTTCTCCAGTCTTGCTTCTGACTCTTCTAGTCACACTGCTCTTCTCTATTTAACATCAATAGAAACTAAGTTTTATCTCTCTTATAACAAATCTCTATTGTAAAATATAGAGAGTAAGCCTAACTATATGAGGGTGGCATTTATGCAGTAATTTAGCTGTAGGTTTTGAAATAGGTTTCTTCCTTCCTTCCTTCCTTCCTTCCTTCCTTCCTTACTTCCTTCCTTCCTTCCTTTCTTCCTTTCTCCTACATTAATTCCAGTTGATGCACAGGAGAATGTTCTCTGCCAGCTTTCGCTATATATGTGTATATATATATATATATATTTCCTCTAATATGCTTTATGCTTTATCACAATGCCTTATTAAAATGAAATGTTTCTTTAAAAAATTAAAAGCTTGGTCGTCTGGGTGGCTCAGTGGGTTAAGCGTCCAACTCTTTCTTGATTTTGGCTCAGGTCTGATCTCACAATTTGTGAGATTAAGCCCTCTGCCGGGCTCTGTGCTGACAGCATGGAGCATGCTTGAGATTCTCTCTCTCTCTCTCTCTCTCTCTCTCTCTCTCTCTCTCTCTCTCTCTCTCTCTCTCTCTCTCTCTCTCTCTCTCTCTCTCTCTCTCTCCCTCTCTCTCAAAATAAATAAGCTTATTTTAAAAATAAAAAATAATTAAAAATTAAAAGCTTAACCAGCTGAAACGAGTGAATATAAGTTGCATGTTTTCAATGAAGAATACGTTTTTAAAAATTCTTTTGAGTACAGCTGACACACAATGCGATTAGTTTCAGGTGTATAGTTTGATAGTGATTCCACTTCTCTGGACATTGTGCTGTGCTCACCACAAGCATAGCTACCATGTCACCATACAGCACTATTACAGTATCATTGACTGTGTTTCCTGTGTCCCACCTTTTTATATATATATAAATGTTCACTTACTCATTTTGAGAGAACAGGTGGGGAAGGGGCAGAGAGAGAGAGACAGAATCTCAAGCAGTCCCCTCAGTATCAGCACAGAGCCCGACACAGGGCTCAAACCCACAAACTGTGAGATAGTGACCTGAACTGAAACCAAGAGTCGGACCCTTAACCTGTTGAGTCACCCAGGCAGCCCCCCATGTTATACCTTTTATTCCCGTGACTTACTCATTCCATAACTGGAAGCCTCTTATCTCCCACTCTCCTTCATTCATTTTGCACATCTCCTTCCCCTCTTCCTTCTGGCATTTCTAGGTCTGATTCTTTTTGTTTACTCATTTGGTTTTTTAGATTCCACATAAGCAAAATTACATGGTATTTGTCTTTCTCAGTCTGACTTATTTCACTTAGGATAATACCCTCTAGATCCATCCATGTTATCACAAATGGCACGATCTCATCATGCATAATGATGTGACTTGGTGACTGCATAATATTCCATTGTGTATATATATTTTTCTTCTTACCATTTGTCTGTTGATGGACTCTTAGGTTGCTTCCATATCTTGGCTAATTGTAAATAATGTTGCGGCAAACATAGGGATGCATATATCTTTTTGATTTAGTGTTTTCTTTTTCTTTGGGTAAACAATACTGGAATTATTGGATCATGCAGTACTTCTATTTTTAATTTTTTTGAGGAACCTCCATACTGTTTTTCACGGTGTACCAATTTACATTCCCATCAGCAGTGCATTAGAGTTCCCTTTTCTCCGCATTCTTGCCAACGCTTGTTGTTTCTTGTCTTTCTGATTTTAGCCATTCTGACAGGTGTAAGGTGATATCTCATTGTGGTTTTAGTTTGTATTTCGCTAATGATTAGTGGTTGAGCATCTTTTCATGTATTTGTTGGCCATGTGTATGTCTTTGGAATAATGTCTGTTCAGATCTGCTTCCCATTTTTTGATCAGATTGGGGGTTTGGGTGATTATTTAAAATTTTTTTTGGTGTTTTAAAAGTTCATTATATGTTTTGGATATTAACTCCCTATCTAATATATCAGTTTCAAGTATCTTCTCCCATTCAGTAGTTTGCCTAATAAAAAGTAATTTTGGTGGCTCAGTTAGTTAAGCCTCCTACTTCATCTCAGGTCATGATCTCACGGTTTGTAAGTTCCAGCCCCACGTCGGGCTCACTGCTGTCAGCACAGAGCCTGCTTTGGATCCTCTGTCTTCCTCTCTCTCTCTCTGCCCCTCCCCCACTTGCACTCTCTCAAAAATAAATAATACATTTAAAAAAATTTTTTAAGTAATTTTTTTTTTTTTTTTTTTTACAACTGATGAAATCTCTAGAGGATAACACGAGGAGAAAGTTTGTACCTTCTCTTAGTGCCACTGCTTTCAATCTAGCATGAATAAAGGTACATAGAACTACAGGACAAACACACCATTTGATCCTAGAGTGTCATTTTTATTTGAATGAGAAGTATTTTATTTTTATGTTACAAATGAAGGTGTATTATACAGCTGAATTTAGAGTTCACATGAATTAAGATAAAATGGGGATTTGGGGAAAATAGTTTGCTTGTGCTTTGAGTACTGAGTATGTATTATTACCAATTGCTGTTAGTAAGCTTACTTCATTTTTTGTGTTCAAGGAGGTCACGCAGTGTCGGGAGGAGAAAAGGCCTCCTGTCACTGCCTACATTCTTTTCTCTTTACCACTGCTTTTCATAATATGCCTGCTTTTTAATCCTCTGTCTGTCCCAAAAAACCTCAATTTTGAAAGATGTTACCTACCAAACTGTTTCTATTAGATAAACTATTTTACTGTATTTTGGGTAATAAAAACAAAGGAACTCCAAGTTGGACTTTCTGATCACCATGAGCAAATCAGTAGCCACACTGATTTCTAATTTGGCACAGAAAGGCTATTTGGGGGCAAATGGAGGCATTGTATAAAGCTTTTGGAAATAATGAAAGTGGTTTACAGATGGCATGTTGATACCTCTTAGAGCCTTCAAGGTCTGAGGAGCCCCAGGAGCAGTCTGAACTGCCCTTTAAACTGTAACCTTACAGCTTGAAATTAATCATATTTTTGGGTGATAAAAGGAGAATGCCTATATTTCAGAGTGAGAATATTGGATTGATGCCTTTATTACTTTTGCTTTTTGCACCTAGATTGAATATGAAAGGAAAAAGAAAGAAGATGGAAAACGAGCTCGAGCTGATAAACAACATGTTTTAGACATGCTATTTTCAGCATTTGAGAAACATCAGTATTACAATCTTAAGGACTTGGTGGACATCACAAAACAACCTGTGGTATGTATATGCTCACATTGATCCTTTAAATATGTCCTGCTTCATTTAGATGACGTTTCTGAAGAGAAGGGTATCATATATGAAGAAGTTCACTTGCACCTATGCTAATGTCAGGGTTTATTTCAACACTCAGGAAAGATGTCTTAATACAGGTTATTTTTTGGTGACATCAGCTTCATTATTTTAGATTTCAAATACATTAATGTTAATAGTTCCATATGAAGATAAAGTAGATATACCCTTCTTTTGACTGATCCTTGACATCAAGCCTAGTCTTTCATTTGTTCCCCTACCTCTCTCCAAAAGCACTCAGCTTCTTTCATATATTTGAAAATGTGCCTTCTAGAAGAACTGCATTCCTTTAAGAGCCATACTGATTTGTCATGATGAGGATGTTCATCTCTGTCTTGCGGGGTTTTTTTTGTTTGTTTTTTTTTTTAATCAAAATTTATCTAGCACTAACATTAGGTCCTTTTACACTTGAGCTGTGTACTCCCCCAGTGTTGGTTGAGGTTGTGGTTGGGTTGGTCTGTTCTCCATTTTTAAGGACAAATTTATTAAATTGATGTTTTAGAAAGTTTGTACTATAAATAATCATTTTTCTATCCCTGCTCCAGACTTGTGCCTGTTTGCTAACAATTTGTATTTCTAATCCATTAAAACACTGGTAACAAATAAGGAATCCAAATCCCTTTTCTCCAGTCTTTGAGTCACATTTCCTGCTGTTTCACTTTCTTACACCTAACATTAGCAAAGCAGAGAATTGAATTGTAACAGTATTTATTTATAGGGTTTTAAAAATTAAATGGAATCTCTTTTATTTTCTGTCCTTTTACACTCTGACTTATTCAAAGCTTTAGGAAATAACTTAGGAAATTTCAATATTGATGGTAGTTTTCCCATTTCTGCAGATTTCATTGTTACATTTCAATCTTTCACTTTTTTATTAAGAAATTAAATTCCAAAAGATCTAAATACTTTTTTTAATAGGAGGCAAGTGCTCATGCTGCCATTATCAGCTCCTCTTAACGACTTCACTCCCTTCACCATCAAAGCCTTAGACACAGCATTTCAAACTAGATTTTTAAAAATTGAAATAGAATAATTCATTAGCTAAGCTGTGTTTTTTCTACATTTAATGAAGTTTATCCTTGTGTCATATATATATATATATATATATATATATATATATATATATATATATATATATATATATATATACACACATACATACATACACACACAAAAAGGCCATTCCAGAAGCTGAATGCAGACAGTATATTCTCATGGAATAACACACACACACACACACATTAGATATAGGAAAATAAGCATTTGTATGTAGAAGGACATTTAGATGATACTAGAGAAAACAATTTCTTTGCTTCCCAATTTCTTAACATGGAACAACATACTGTTTTTTTTATCTTTTTTACTTTTTTTAATGTGTATTTATTTTTTAGAGAGACACAGGGTACAAGTGGGGGGGTGGGCAGAGAGAGAGAGGGAGACACAGAACCTGAAGCAGGCTCCAGGCTCCAAGCTGTCAGCACAGAGCCCGATGCAGGGCTCGAACCCATGAACTGTGAGAGCATGATCTGAGCCAAAGTGGAACTCTTAACCAGCTGACCCACCCAGGGGCCCCAACATACTATTTTTAAAATTCATTTTGTGTCAGAGAAAAGCAATAACTAGTATTTCTCTCAGTTTTGGTGTTTCAGATAATTTTTATGTAGAGGTGCTCAGTGAATCTCTTAAAATAGAGCTACTTAGGGATGCCTGGGTGGGTCAGTTGGTTAAGCGTCTGACTCTTTGTTTTGGCTCAGGTCATGATCTCATGGTTCGTGAGTTCCAGCCCCATGTCGGTCTCTGTGCTGACAGCTGCAGAGCCTGCTTGGGATTCTCTGTCTTTCTCTGCCCTCCTCCACTCACTCACTCTCTCAAAAATAAACAAACATAAAAAGAAAGTGAGAGAAAGAGAGAAAGAAGAAGGAAAGAAGAAAGAAAGGGAAGGGAAGGGAGAGGAGAAGGAAGGAATGAGCTGCTTACCTCATAGTCAGTAGGTGGGCTTTAGGAGATCCAGCAGTCTTCTGAATATGTGCAAAAATATGTGGGTTTTTCTGGGGAGCAGATCATAGTTAATATCAGATTCTCATAGAAGGTCTGGGAACCTCAAAGAGCTTGTGAACCACTGATCTAGACTAAATTATTTTATAATTGTCTTATTGTTTAGAGGCAGTTTGCCTCAGCAAGCATAAGGTTCTTAAAGGAGGGTTGTGTATTAGTCATATCCCTAAATATTCATATGTTCTACAATGTAAACATAGTAGAAATCCAGTAAATATTAGATGAATTGATGGATTCAGATGGATTCGACAGGCCTCATGTCATTTTTGGCAAGAGAAGGAAGACGGAGAGCCAGTCTCAACTAAGTGTGGAACGCCAGGGTTTTAGTTATCTCCGCCTAAAGGAGGGGGCAGGAAGGGGTCAGCGTGGGTTGGGTTCTGCCATTTACCTACCCACTGGGATCTGGGGGAGTTACTTCCTTTCCTAAAATTGAGGAACACTGGATAGTCACTGTGCTCCCTTCCAACCCGATATCTGTGACTCTTTCTCTCTCTCTCTCTGTCTCCTGTTTTATCTCCTCTCCACCTCCCTCTCGTATTTGAATTGAATTAGCAAATCCCATTGACCTGCGAAGTGGCCCAAGTTCAGCTTTCCTCTGTATAGAGAACTATCCCCTTTAAAAGGTTCACCGGATGTAAGTGAGTCTGTACTCATGGTCATCAGTATACCCTTACTAATTTGATCTTAATCTGAGCAATTCCAGAAGAATGAAAGAACCCAGTATAGCATGAAGATTAGTGATCCAGGAAAGGGGCTTCCTGGTATGATGGAAATAGTGGTGGATTTGGAGTAATGGCATCTCAGTTCAAGTCCCAGCTCTGCCATTTAGCCTGGACAGGGTACTTAAATACATTTGATGTTTAACACAAACCAGTTTTTGAGTCCCTGTGTAAAAGAGGAGAAAAGAGATCTTGTTTGTGTTAATCACCTCTTTAGTATATGCATTTAATGACTTTCTCTCATTTTCTGATGGCCCCCAGTGCCCCCTTTGATAACAGATTTCCAGCCATGAACTCTATTACTTTATCACATCCTCTATTTCATTAACACTGCTACCATATTCTTAAGTTCCCATCTGCTTTCTGACCTTCAGAGTGTAACTTTTGACACATTGAGTGGACCCGAGATATTGTTCTTGTTTTTGCAGTTCTTACTCTCTGTATTTTTCTTCCTAAAAACTTTCACTTCCATGAGCAAAATTATTGATCAGAGAAACTGTCCTTATGGCCAGACCTTTTCTGTCATTGGCTGGCATGTGACTTGCATGAACAATCAAGGAGTTAAAGTTACTCATCAAGGGTAAATAAGCCAATTTTAAAAGGCCAAGCTCTGGTAATTGATGTAAAGTCAGAAACATGATATCCATTTAAAGGGATGTTTTTATATGATTTGAATTTGGGCTTTAATGTGAAATACCAGAGGAAGCCTATTATTTCTCCCATGCAGTATTTGATCTTTCACCTTGAATTTGTTATGTCTAGCCTTTCTTCATATCTTATTATATCTGTAAAATAGAAATACACAGCATTTCCTTCAAAATTTAAACCATTCAGAGCTGTACCTAATTGCTCCCTTTGAAACACCAAACTGCCAAGACCGTTTTGAGCCTTGACACTGTGTTCTCTCTAGCATAGCAGCCATTTACCAGTGTTCCTTGAATCGTACTTTTCTGCCAAAAGTATCCTTGAAAATCAGCTCTGGTTATAACCAAACCTCTTTAATTTTCTTGTTCTGTATCCACCCAGTTTCCAGGCATGATCTAGGGAAGTTGATCTTTAATTATTGATGATTCCTTCTGAATCAGCAGTCCCCAGTCATGTCAGTCCAGCAGACCATTGTTTAATTATACAATTTGCATGCTTTTTACTAAAGTAAGTTCAAATTCACAGGAAAATCTAGGAAAACATTTGTGTGGCTTTGACTTTGAAGGAATTTGGTGCCCATATTTCAAGGTCCCAGCACTAAACATTGCTCAACAGGCAGTTGCTTATTCGCACAAAGTGGGCTTTCAATAAACAAAGCCATTGCAGCAATAAGGCAATGTTAACCTAATCCTCAGAATTTGTTTCTAGATAGACTTAAAGTGTGAACAGAAGTAATTGAAGCAAAATTTGGATACAAGAAGGTAGGCTTTTTTTTAAGGGTAAAATGTCTGGAAAGTATGACCTGAGTATTTCTCCTGTCAAACAAATTTTTTTATTTATTTTTAATTTTTTTTTTAACGTTTATTTATTTTTGAGACAGAGACAGAGCATGAATGGGGGAGGGTCAGAGAGAGGGAGACACAGAATCTGAAACAGGCTCCAGGCTCTGAGCTGTCAGCACAGAGCCCGACGCAGGGCTCGAACTCACGGACCGCGAGATCATGACCTGAGCCGAAGTCGGCCGCTTCACCGACTGAGCCACCCAGGCGCCCCCAAATTTTTTTATTTATAAGCATATGCTGTTATAGGGGCACCCACCTGGCTCATTCGGTGGAGTATGTGACTCTTGATCTTGGGATCTTGAGTTCAAGCCACATGTTGGGTATAGAGCTTACTTAAAGAGTTTGTATATGCTATTGTAGATATGTGAATTAGTTGAGACTCTTCTAGTTGCAGAGAATAGAAACTCAGCTCAAGGGGCGCCTGGGTGTGTCAGTTGGTTAAGTGTCTGACTTCGTCTCAGGTAATGATCTCACGGTTTGTGAGTTCGAGCCCTGCATTGGACTCTGCGCTGACAGCTCGGAGCCTGCTTGGGATTCTCCTCTTCCTCTTCCTCTCTCTCTTTCTCTCTCTCTCTCTCTCTCTCTCTCAAAAATAAATAGACTTTAAAGAAAAAAAATAGAAACTCAACTCAAACTAACTTAAACAAAAATAGAATTTATTGGTCAT